TTGTTTGCAAGGTGTAGGCGCCTTGATGTTGTATGTTTGAATGTAGACGTAGCTCTTTTTTAGTGGTTAGGTCCCCTCCCTCTTTTTTCTTCTCTCTTCCTAAACAGGGTTTGCTTTCTTCTTCTTCTTCGTGGTTGTGTGGCAGTTAAGCATCAGTGTGAACCACTGATGTATTGCTGTCTATGATGATGATGATGATGATGCATTTATCCATGTTTTGGAGACAAATTCACTTCATAGCAGACTAGTTCTTCAACGTTTTCTGCTTGTGTAAGAGTCTAATTATTTTATTATCAATTGAAGACTGATAGACATTCACCAACACAGCCCGTCATTCTTTCCAGAACACAATTGTTTTTTTTTCGAGTGTTCATTAAAACCATAATAGGTTTATTCTCACGGTGGCGTTGCCGTTAACGCTTCGACCGCAACCGCAGCTTCCATGGATAGTTTTCTACTAACCTCGGTTACATTGACCGATACTCACCGATCCATACAATGATTCCTATCTGGCGACTGACTACTAGTCAACGCAACAACCTCACAATTACACTCGTCAATTCGTGTAGTCGCTTGAGGTAATGTGTCCGATAACCATCTCGAAATGCGTTTGTTTATTCTGATTTAGTGCTTTCTATCAGTTGTGTTTATTTTAAATGATGTCTCATCGGTACCCTCTTTTCAAGAGCGGTCAATAACGTAGACTAGCATGGTGTTTCCGATAGCGGTTCACCGCATCTTTGCAAGTGCGTGTTCCTATGATATCTGCATAGCATACCTAACTGTTCATCAGTGGGTCAATCAATCAACTTACACGTACGGAGGAGTATACGTTGCAAGCATGCATACATCCGTGCCGACGGAACTCATTATCGGGCTTAACAAATACAATGAGTACGGGCTGCCTATTTTTGTCACTAAACTTAGTAACCGAGTGTTGCTAGTCTCGTCTACAGTCCGAAATGCCTCCATATCGCTAAGTCGGCGATGTACATTTAGCTGTTGCGCTACTGCTATGACTGAGTATCAGTCCAATGCTGTTCGCTTATGCCGCATGACCTTTTTACCTTTTTTTTAATATGTTCACTCGACTGTTCGATGGTGTGATTTGTCTCTTCGTTCTGCCAAGGTTAGTTGAATGGATGTGTGCATTTTGATTTGGCTTGGGCTGGCAGTGCGTCTTTCACCGAAGGCTATAAAATCCCGTCCGTCATATCACTAGCGTAAATTAAAATGTAACCAGCTGAATCATGTAGATTTGTGTTGTTGACTGTCCTCGTCAAGTTCCATTTATGTAGGTTTATTCACGACCGCAGATAAAACCATAAGTGTAGGAACTCGGTCCTTTATCGGTTAGGTACATATGTCTAACGCGATTAGCATCAAAAAGGAGATACACGCTACAGCAAACGGACAGAAATCGTAGGTTTTTAGGCGATATAAAAGAGAGACGAGTGATGATAAAAGAAATAGCATTGAACCGAGGTACACATGTTCGCAACACAAGCACTATTGACTTTTTATTCGTCACCTCACATGTGTTTATTGGCCTTCAAACCTCAGCCGGGGAACCGGAAGTGCCCCATTGAAACAACCTTCAATGTCAATGTTTTCATTCTTCGAACACAAGTCACAGGTTGACCATCAGGCTGTTGCGTTCAGCTTAACCCATCACCCGCAAACAAATCACGACGTGGCAATCGGTGAGATGGAATTCTTAAAATATGTTCAAGCTAATGATGCCCATAAAATGGGACCAGTATGCGCACTGATTGCAGGGTCAGTGCGTCCAGAAGACACATCACTGATCTTGGTCGTTTCTGACACGATATTCCCATCATCCTGCTAATGCTTCTTTAATTTGTGAGTGTGTGTGTGTGTGTGTTTGTATGATGACTGGTTTGCCTGTTCTTTTCGTAGTCCAATCTGAATGTTGTTATTCATTCTCATCCTCTCTGGAATGCAATAACATGCACTCGTATACTGAAATGCTTCTTGTATTACATTTTACTTATCTTTCTTCGCAGTTTAGATCTTGTCATTACAGTCTCTCTGTTTAGTTTCCGAGAGATAATGGTTTCCACTTCCTGCTAACCGTTCAGTTGGCTAACCAGCATTGGTCGGTTGGACACAAAGGCCTCACTCACACACCTACTGGTCTTATTCCTTCGGGTTGACACCGGATACGTGGTGCGTAAGTGGAACCGCAAGTGGTGCAGCACAGTCCACTTGGGTTGATGGTTTGAAGCGCAGGCGTCCTTTGGCTTCGGTCACTGTGACAGGCTAATTCGTTTCGGATGCCGCCAACCGTGTGTACACCTGAATCACAGTCGAACATGGAAATCACAGCTGGAGAAACCCCCTACCTTACATTGCAGACCAATTGGCATGCTACATTCTCAGTTGCACCCACCGACGGTCGTCTCAGTCACTGACCATGAGCCCCACAAATCCGACCGTCTCCGCCACTCAAAACCACTTGTATATAAATGACTTATTGTTTTATCAAAAAGGTATTGTAGGCGGGTTCCTACTGTTAAAAATGGCCGATGTGCTTCCATCCAATGACCTGATTACATTTCCTGGTGTTACCGGCCGTTGGTAATCCGACCGCAGTAGATCTCCCATCAGTGACATTGTTCATCTACTACAATTTTTTTCCACTTTACCTCTCAATTTTTCTTCTCTCCCCGTGCATTCGGGTGATAATCGTTTTGTAAAGTCAAGACAACTGGCAAATATTGACGCTTTCAGTGTGCGCACCCTCTGACAAGCTGGTCACCAAGTTGTTCTGGCAAGTACTCTCTCAAGTCTGGCGTTTGATGTGTCGTGTGTCAGAGACACGGGTCTACGATTCTATCATCCTTATTCACCTGAGCTCACCTCCAGATAACTGTCGATCAAAGCGCTTCTCTTTTGGGGTCTGTGGTGACGCCAAACCTGAACCTCGTGATCAAACTGAGCAGATTAATGTTTACTCGACTCGGTTCCAGTGAACAGTCATTTATGCGCTGTCAGATTCAATACACCGGCTAAAGTCTGCCAACACAACATTGAAAAGCTTTGTACAACTAGTATATCGCCCCAGTGAATAGCTGTTGGGATGCTACCAAACAGGCGTTCTACCACGCCCTCGCCAACTTTCTAAACACTCGGACATCGTCATACTAGCCGATGACGTTAACGCTCAACTTGGTCGTCTTCCTCCAGAGTAACAAAGAGTGGGAGGTATATTTAGTGTCTGGACACAACGTACTGACAATGGCAAAAGCTGTGTGAGTCACATGACCTCCGTATGTTAAGTACTGCTTCTCAACACAGGAGGGGGCATTCTAATGTGTAGAGACTTCCATGTGCTTCTGAATCTGCAGCTCGAGCCACAGTACTTTCTAGTCAGACTCAAGTCCGCTGTGA